GCCTAGATTCTAAGATATGGCTTTTTTACCCTTTTTTACCCTTTTTCTCATTACCAGAAAATCTGATTGCAAAAAAATTAGCACCATTCGATTCAGCGTCGTCGAATTACCATTATATCAAATTTCGCCCGGCTAGCTAAATTTTCCAAGTTCTCCTCTTGTTGCCTGGACTATTGTAATATATATCCATTTACTGTAGTTTGATATTCGTGATAAGTAGATAACTGGTAAGCCTACGTGACCGCATACATGTTAAAGGAAAGGGATTTGTGTCCAATGTGTACTGGTTCTTTCCATCTTGAGTCATGTGTTTGGACACTGTCAATATATTGTATGTATTATATAAAGTAAATAATTCTCTTGTTATATATTCTTTGTTTATTAATTGCAATTAGGTGATCAAAAAGGTAGTAGATTTTGTTTGAACTATTAATTATTCACGAGTACGAGTATGCGTTATTCTTTCTTTTTATTGCGTGCCGAACTATTATAATGAATTCAATTTATATTAAACAATACTTGCGTCAAAGTATGCCCTAACGAAAGAGTTAATAATAATTAACCATTGATATTTGTATTTCCAGAAATCATCCTGGCTCGATATATTCCTGGCAGAATTGCTTGCTCAAGTGAAGGAAGGTAGAGATGTCAAAGATGTGGTATCTTTTTGGTAAGTCTAATTATTGAAATATTATTGCAATTCTATTGCATAATAACATGTAGAAAAAGAATGGCACTGTATTATATATACGCGTCTCCAATTTAATAATATATTTAAAAGAAGAAATATATTATTTAGAGGTTAACAAGAGAGAGAGATAGTATGAATTTCTGTGGATCTGTAATGGTGAGACATTTATTCTTACCAAACGGTGTCTAATAATTACCGCAGTATGAAAATATGATCCTTGTGGTCACTGTGTTGCCGAGAGACATTGAATCTGAAGGTATCAAATATTTGCTACAACGTGTTTAATACATTGCTTTAGCTTTTTGTAGAAAAATAAAAAAAGTACAAAAATAAGAATAAAAAAAAAAGTTTCATTACAAATGGATATATCACTAAAAAAACTCTCGATAATTACAAAGAGAAGGTTTGAACGAACAATTGCTTTTAATCCTTCTTCGATATTTTACAATACACGTTTGTACAACTTGTTTCTTGGAATTCGAAATAACGACTGTCGTAAGAAAGATCTATTTGCAAGTATGACAAATAAATATGAAGAAAATAAAACAATTTAACAATCGCATCGATACGATAAGTCCTAAGATATATATGATAAGATAATAATCGACAAAATACCTGATATTATATGTAACATATCCGATGTTTAATTTCAGTTCAATCGGCGGCGGTGGCGGAGTTTCTACACTCGTGGCATGCGAATTACTCTCGGACGTACACGAACTCTGTGCGAAAAAAAGCGAAGGTGGTGAATTGGTCGGGCTAAGAAAATATTTAGCTCGAGATCGTGGCTGGCGTTGTTTAGCGGTCTTACATTTATTGGGTGTACGTGGATTATCGTGCGGTCGCGAGCTCGTTGCATTGTTAGTAGCTTTATATCCGGTTGCTCTTCAAGAAGATAATTCATCAGATAAGTCGAGGGAATCATCTACTCACAATCCTTATATCAAGTTTTATTGTAACGACGACACAGTTGATACAGTAATCATAGTACCTCACGCTAAACGAAAAAACGTCAAATCAACTCGTTGCGTGTCAAATTACGAAGGCAATGCAAAAACATCGAGAAGAAAAAGCAGTAGCCGGAAGCAAAGCATCGGCATTAGAATGGCATCTTACAATAAAAAACAAAAATCTTTGGGAACCGAAACGAAACGCAACAACGCGCCGGACAACGAGAGTAGCGGATCGGAATTTCTGACAGACGGTATCGATCAGGCACGTTCATTGACCCTAAAAATACGTTTAAATCCGATGGATTTTGAATACTTTACATCGGTGGTCAGAAGCGACGAAGAACAGAAATGGCAGACTGCTTTGTACGAGTTACCCACACGACCAGCGAAGAAAATTCCTTTGGATTACGTAGATGATAGAATCAAGGAAGTATTGAATGCGACGATCAGTAATTTTGAAATTAGTCTCTTGATCATACAATTGCTTCAAGGATTAAGAGATTATGATACACCTGCCGAACAAACACCAGCCGTGCAAGTGTTAAAATTTGCTTTGGATACTCTCTGGTCTTTACAATTTGGTATCGATGGGACTGCTCTCACTAGGATCGAATGCGCTACTTTAAAAGCCGCTGCTGCAAGATTGATGTTGATGGCTTTAGAGCGTGTTCTCCGAGCTGATGAACCTACAACTGCTGTAATACACAATGGATTGTTACCTATGACCCTCAGATTACTCGAAGATGCTTGCATCAAATCAATTGGTAGTGATATATCACCAGACGAAGGCTCTTTATTTCAAGAATTTATTTTTGCAACTATATATGGTATCATCACTTTTCTCTATTGCCTGTTACATCAGCGAAGTGCAAATGCTGACAAGTTATCAGACTTTTTTGAACTTTTTGGTTTATTTGCTCAAAGCCAAGACGGTAAACTCATCGAGAAGACCATCTTAGCGATCGTTGGCTTACCGAGTGCAGATCCAACAAGGTCTGTTCATCGTGTCAAGAAAGTCATCGATATGATCGGTGCCTTAACGAGTGGTTTGAAAAGAGTTCGACGAGATATCGCTCACGTGAGCCTATGCCACCGAACCAAACACAAATCATGCGTCGATAACGTTCAATCACATCATCATTTTGATGTTTTTGGATTACCTTACACCGAATCGATCGTTGGGGTCTCGATCCTTGAACAAGCTTGTTGCGTGTCCTCTCTCTTCATGACTCTAACCAATCTTTTGAAGGAATCTCATGCCTATGTAGCAGAACTACGAATCAGATTACTAAAAGTGACAACGGCTGCTGGTACCTGTTGTTGTTTTTCACCAAAAATCCTTCTCTCGAGTATCGTCATTTTTCTGAAGAAACGTGATTCCTTGACTTACAGTCCAGCTGTTGCTTTCCTTGAACGAACTCTCTTTAAAGAACTTGGTGCTTATCCGGTGATTAATAATTGTCTAACTTGCCACAGGCCACCTAATTATTCTTGGGAATTCTTGGAAATGTATAATGAATTGCTTACACCTGACGATTCAAAATTGTCATACGTCGTAATTGCACACTTGCTCAAAGTCACACCAACTTCGAAATTTCAAGTCAGGCAGGAACTTCTCGTTCGTGTTTTTTATCCAACATTTTTGAGAGCCAAATCTTATTACAATAATGACAAGGAATGTGTCGCTGCTAAATTTCTCATTCTTTCTTGCTTATCCGTAATGTCGAATCTAATAGGAAACATGCAAATGTGGGAAAACTTCATCGAGATGGATGGATTGAAAGAAGTATTGGTTTTATTACCGGACGTAACGTTTACTAGAAGTGTTTATGTTCTTCTAGAAGTGGCGGTAATCATGGAAATTTGGAATTCGAATTGCCATGAAAATGATACTCTCGGAAAAACCGAAAATATGGCATTAAAATCTTTGTTTGAATTTCTCGAGAATGAGACGACCAATTTATTGAATGTATTAAAACAATTTGAAACAAAGCGGATAAAGGAAAGGTCAGAGGAATCACGTGGAAATGAAAATACTCACGAGCCGACAAAAGTGAACGTGGAAAGTGAAGAAATAGAAATAATTGTACCATTGGAAGATTTCACCCTGAATGTTCTTAAGATAGAAAATCAATCCTGTAAAAATGACGATAACAACTCTCAAACAAAATTACTAAATAATTCAGAAACTATGAAAATAACAGAAACATCAGACTCAGTGTTAATAGCCACCGATAAAGAGATCAATTTACATCAAGCAAGTGCAGTATGGAGAGCAACGGCTGGAGTTGCATTATGCAGTCCTAATTTTCGTCTAGAATTATCTTCACATTCAATAGCTGATAAAGTTTTACAATTATTTACATCATTAGCTATTAACGTTGCTACTGATAACATACAAGGTAAGTTTAAAAAAGGAAAATGTTTAGTACTGTACAATATTGTCTTATTACGGATTTCTTCGATAAGCCTTTTTTTTTAGATACCAATAAATCAGCATATAAGTTGTTTGAAGCTTTAATGACTTGCTGCTTAATATGCTCGTTGTGTAAGTATATTTTTATCTTTATATAACTTAGATGAATCATACGTACGTAAGTTGTATAATTCGATCTGGTATTCTTCGGCCACACATACACAGCTGCGGATTATATTATAATTCAGATGCTCTGTACAATTGTGTTTGACGTGAAAACAGTTTAGGGTTGATGCCTTACTGATAAACATCATTCTTGTTACCATGTTATAGCTAACAGATTGTTCATCAGCAATCTACGTTGTAACTTCATTTGTTATACTCGAACTATTTTTAAATTATTATATATTAGGGTTTTTTAAATTTATATTACATATTATACATCACACGGTATAGGCGGATGCGACGTAGCGATGGAGTTGAGAAAAGTATTAATGCAAACAGGAGTTAGACTTGGTCGCGGAATAGCAACCATTATTGAGGCATTGCTTAAGGTTTCCATGTTAAAACCTGCTCATGAGCAGACTATTCCACAACAGCCTCGTGCTAGGGTAAGTTTTGAGGATTAACGTTAATTTAATTCTTCGGCAATTACTAAAGAAAAAATTATTTAAAAAATAAAAAATCTATTTATGCTTCTCAGTTACCTACTATGAATTTGGATACTTTGCCAGATTATGGTGGTGACGATAGTAGCACTGGAGAATATGTAACTGCCGATGATGGTTACGAAGCAGATATTGAAGTACCAGGAAAAAGTTCTCGTTCTAATGTAACAAAAAAAAGTGGATCTATAGGACCTGTTGTTGAACCACGGGGTCATGCAAATGCACATCCAGCTTTGTGCTCATTAGCGATAGATTTACTTATTCATTTCAGTAAGCAGTGAGTATAAATAAATTCGATTAAATTTAAATGAAAGTTAAGATGTATTTAACATTTTCTTAATTAAATTTTTATTTACAGAAATTTGGATGATGAAAAAATATCAATAATAACTAATGGATTAAGAAAATTAGCAATTACGTGCAGAGAAAGCGTTTCAAGTTGTGCTGCCCTTGCGGGATCAGGTGTAATTACGAAAATGTTAAATGGATTTACTGACATATTTACTAGCCATAATCCTCAGTATCAAGGTCTCCATATTATTTTAATTTTTTTAAAGAAATTCTATTTAAAAAATATCATTTAAAATAAACGCATATGCGTATATTTCAGATCTACAACATGCCGCATTGGAAGTATTCACGCTTCTAGCAACACAAGCAATTTCATCCACGGAGCTAGATACATATTTGTCTTTTTTCAAAGTTAAAAATCCTCCAATGTCTTTGCTACTAGAACCATTATATCATCTAGTCATGACAGCACAACCTCAACCAAATTTTATTCTATCGTTTCCTATTGAATGCGATACGCAAATGATATTAAAATCTCAATCAGATGAAAATAAAACTTTTGAAAAAGCTGAGAACTTAGTAAATAATTTTAAACAGAAACATTTTAATACGGGAATTTGTAGTCCTTGGTCTGTACATGCAATATGTCTACCAATTGGCCCTGAGCTTTCATGGTCAGTGTGGTTGCTTGGTTGCTCTGCATCTATGTGGTTACGAGTGGAAAGAGGATTACCTTTTAATAATAGAGGAACAGTTATGAGCACAGCACCGTTACTCCATACCAATAGTGAAAGCTTATCTGATTGGGGTATCCTTTCAGATAATTGGAGTCGAGAAGGTTGGTCAAATCTCCCATACATTAATAGTATATTTCAATGGTGTAGATGTGTTGTTTTTAATGTTAAGTTATGGCATGTAATATAGTAGTAAGTTGAGTGTGTTGTTGCATGCATTGTCAAAATCATCTTGAAAAGACCAAAAAACGTTTGATCTTTCATTGGAAACACCAGCAGTAGCAGGTTCATCATCACCACCCACACCAGCTAGCATTATACACTTGATGTCGATTGGATTTGAATATTTGGTATTAGAAATATGGCTCGACTTTAGATCAGGTAATTAAGCTTATTGATTAATATGTTATTTTTCAGCTTTCATAATTTACTTTTCTTTCAGATAAATTAATTTTGCGATTAACTCGGCCAGATGATAAAACAAATCGAACTGTTTCTGAAACTTCCGTAAGCGACATGCTTCCTTCAGGACGTTGGCATCATTTAGCCATAAATTTCAAAGATATTATTTTAAATAAACGCAGTGCCGTCATAGATGTTGTTATTTGGATAGACGGTTGGAAAGAAATTAATGCCCAATTACCCTTTGATGGTATTCTAATAAGAAAACCAGGCACTACATGTATTTTACTTGGTCAAATCGGGTCAAGCAGTATTGGTGCTTGGTATTTAGGGAATCTAATGGTTTTTAGGTTAACATTTATTTCCTTTTATAATATAATATATGATGAAAATGTTAGTATTACAGATGTTAACATTTCAGATACCCAGTTTTTACCAAAGAAAGAGCTTTATATCTTGCCAGTCTTGGGCCAAATTTTACGAACCTTGCGGATTGTATTTTAAACATGGCCAAGCCTGATTTTGCACCTTTAATCACATCTGGAGCGTTGAGCGATGTTCGCGAAGTCAAATTTGGTTGGTTTACGTGTCTAAAATTAAAGTTTTCACCGCAATAATAAAAATAATTAATAAATCTTAATATAGAAGGAGGTAAATTCGATACGAGTAGACGAAAATCTTACGGCGGTACATATTTAAGACGTGCAATTGAAACGAAAGTATTAGAAAATAAAATTGATTGGGAATCGGTCATGGATGCGACTAACTCACAATTAGGAGAGTTGCAAGATGCTTTACTTCTAAATTATGAAGCTCAAAATCCCAATATCGTTCATTTATATCCTCAAGCCATAGCTAATCCTGGTAAATAAATTATTTTAAATCAAATCAATCACACATAAACATATATATTTTTCTATTTCATTTAAATATATATTGCATTTGTTTATAGCAGTTGTAAGAAACTTGTTTCCTGGTCACCCTGGATTTAGAGTCGTATCTGCACCCGAACACAGAGTATCTCAACAGCCACCACTATCAATAGCACCTATTGTGACAACTCGTTTGGAATGTCAGCAATACAGAGGTCTAATATCAGCAGCAAGTTTAACGGGTGGTGTACCAATATTCCTATTTTTGTTTGCAAGAGTAAGTACACATTCTCTTAAAAATATATTCCTGAATATTTATTATTTATTCGATTTTCTTAATTCATATTTTACGCAGGTAGTTGAATTAGATTCTACCGAAGAGGAACAAGCATTAGCATTTTCGATAGTCTTGCATTTAACACGAAGTGACTCAGAATTATTAAATCAATATCGTGCCGAAGGTGGAACGTCGTTACTTTTACGCGTTTTAGAATCACCACGCTGCCACGCAGGTAGACATATGTTAAAAGCAATGTTAGATGCGGCCTGCGATAGTTCGATTCTGATCAAAGACATCGGTAGCGGTAATCCTATTATTTCACAAAATTGTGAAGCTGTGATTACTGATCCTGAACTTGTAAAAGGTGCCTTGACTGCTTGGAGAACGTGGGTTAAATCTGACACGTTAAATTTATTATTACAAGCGATATTACTTTTATTAAGGGATCAACATTCTCAACGTGAATTCAATGCCTTTCAATTAAATAGAGTTGGAATCGTAGATACCATATTAATGTTATGCAAGGTTGGTGGATTAATTTTGAACATTTGTGTGTGTGTGCACACATGTGATTTAAATGTCAAATAATAATATTATTTTTTTCTATACATATACAGGAGCATTTCATGTACGAAGATCTAGGTGCAACGTTAGAATCTTCTACTGGAAATATAGTGGTAGAATTAATTCGAGCATTAATGGGTGCTCCACCAGAATTTGAACACTTAGTTGCTATCACTGATTACTTAGTTCTCGTTCATCAAGCTTCAGAGACTTATATAACACATTCTAGACATAATATTTATTTCTTATTACCCCCTCTGACAGAAGGAAAAGTTAATATACGAAAATATTTCACAGCAGCGAATAGTAGTTCTTCCGAAGAATCTATAGGAATATTGGAGAATAGCAAGTTGAACAAAGCTTTAACAAACGTACAGGTAATTTAAATAAATACATCAAATTATATAATAGATGCAAAAAAATGTATAAGTAATCAACGATTCTAATAAAATATTCTCCCTGATTTTTGTTTCTATTATTATTATAGATACAAAAAAGTAAAACAACTAAAAGAACAGAACGTAGAAATGATCAATCTAAAGATAATAGTACTGAAGAAGACTCTGGAATTGCAGCTAGCGATGGTTCCAATGTATGAACTAACATAATATAAAATAATTAATATATCAATAAATTACTTAACAATAATTTAAAAATATTTCGTTAATTATTTTCAGGAAAAACAATCAACAAACGTAGATGAAAGAAAAGCTTGTCAAGGTTTAGTCTGTGAAGGCCTATTATTATTATTAAGAGATGCTGTAAGAGTATTACCTGATAGTCAAGTTGGTTCTGTACTAAAACATGTCTTACGTGCAGAGGTTTTACTTGTCCTTGCCAATAATCCTGATGCAAGAGTTCGTACAGCATTAATAAAGGTTATACAAACGTACCTCCAAAGAGCTAGCGATGAAGAAGTGAATAAGTTTATAAAGCAAAAATATTTTATGCATTTAGCAAACCAAATATCGCTTTATCCAGGGAGTGAGTTTCTCATTACTGCTTTACAAAATCTTGCTTTAAGAGGACCAACATTAGCAGCAATGCCACCATTAATAGCAATGATAGCAAAAACTGCTGCTACTGAATCAAATATAGCACATCCTATAATATTATTTATAACAGATGTTATAGCAAAGGTATAAAATATATATAATTAAATAGAAATTTATTTTCATCGCAAATTTAAATATGTTTCAAGAAAGTATTGATCTTTATTATAGAATTCAAATGCTTTAAGAATAATCTTAGAGCAAGGTCTCATAGAATGCTTGGTGCAAGCCTTAGTTGTTGCAGCGCATAAAGCTAACTCAATGTCGCTAGACCATGACATCCATGTATTACTTGTGGCAATTGCTGCTAAGTTATTGGAATCGCCAGGAAATCATCAAATGCAAGCTGTATTAGAATTACATCTTATATTAAATCACATGGAACTTAAAGAAAGATCTGAATGTAACAAATGTGCTATGTGTATACCTGCTATCAGAGATGCACAAGTTGCATTATTCGACGGTGAACTCGATGCATTAACAGAGAAAGTTTCTACACATTCTGGATTTAGATTACGTAGTACGACTTCTTATCTCGCTTCTGCATCTTATTTAACAACAGGTAAATGTCCATATATAATTCTTGGATTTGGTTAGTACTAATTTATACGTTAACAATAAATATAATAAATTATCTATTTGTACATAATTTAATGTAGTTCTTACAACATCGAGCGAACAGAGCGATCACGGCTCTCGATCATCCAGTTACGGAAGTTTACATGGAACTTCTACTTCTGTTATACGAGAAACAGGAAAAGGAGAATTATACGATCGTTTCCGTATGATTTTAACTCGAGCTGTTGAATTCGTAACTACAGCGGATGAACCACCATCAGGAGATGAATTGCAATTATCTAGAAGATTATTTTCAATTCTTTTACATGGATTATGTGACCCATTGGAAAGAAAAAGTCATTGGAGTAGCGCGTGGTTTACTAGACCTGCTTTGAGAAAATATACAGCAAAACTTATGGTATGGTTACTTGGACCACACCAAAGTAATAATATTAGAATTTATGCAATAAGATCTCTAATGGAAGAACCAAAGGCTCATGAAATTTTGATATCGCTTCTTGAGGTTCATCCACAGGTAATATAATGCATAAATAAAAATTTATATAAGTTAAAAATAAAAGCATAATATTTAATAACATGTATTTAAAATATTTAATGCCATATGTTTTATGATGTATTAGGTAGAGCAAAGATTCACTGTCTTCTTTTGGGATTTATTACAAAAAGATGAAATGTCAAGCGCAGATGCTAGAATGTGTGGCGAATTTAGAGAAGCTCTTCGTATATGGGATCTTTCAAAAAGTATTGATCAAGCATCTCCAGGAATATGGAATGAAGAATTAGCTTTACTACGACGTGAATTAATGAGGGATAGAGATATATGGATTGATACAAATCTTCCAGCCATATACAGGTACTCAATTAACTTATTTTTATATTCGGTGCATAGATGAATTTATGTTAATTTTTAATTCGTTTTATATGTTAGAATCAGTAATAGATTTGATGGATTAGCCAAACAATTAACTGAAAGTGCCATGGCCATAACTCGTATTGTAGTAGAAGAACAAAACCGAGAACGTAAAGTATTAATGGAACGATTAAAACATGCAAGAGCCATGGAAGCTCAAGCAGTTGCAAAATGGAGAGATTTGGCTAAACGATTGACGCACGAGAGAGCACTTTGGCATTTTCCCGAAAGTTATCCACGTAGTTGGGAATTAGATCCAACAGAAGGGCCTGCCAGAGTTAGAATCCGTTTACAAAGATGTCATTTAGATATCGATGCAAGATTCTTTTTGGCAGAGCATAAGGATAAATTAGGTTTGTTCCTCAATGATACGAAAATGAATTATTTCGAAATTACTCTCTGTATTAATATTAATAATTTTAAATAATATTTAGAAGTGTCTAAAATCGAGGCACCTTTGTCATATTTATTTTTAACAAACCGTCAAGATGTTAATGCATCCACTTTAATTGAACGTTTACATACCAGTGAAAGAATACGTAAAATGTCTCAAGCCAAAGTTGTTACTCCAAGAGCAGAATTATCAGGTGAAGTATTAATTGGAGAAACATGTCTCTATTTTGTTCCCGATAATCCTGATGTACCATTACACACAGATGTAAGTACTAAGTTTTGTCTCTAAATAAGAATGTTATCATTTATAAATGCATATATATAGTTTAAATATTTATTTTAGATAGCCTTAGGAGGTTTGGATTTAGCCATGGCTGGTGGTACAGCTTGGCGATTAGAAGACATTCGTGAGTTACATAAAAGAAGATACCAATTACAAGAAAGGGCTATTGAAATATTTCTCATCACCGGGAGAACCTATTTATTAGCATTTAATTCTTCCAAGGTATTTATTTATTAACACATTCCGAATAAGCTGATATTCGAACTAAGATTAATATTTTTTAGGAAAGAGATGAATTTGCAACAGAATTATCTATTTGCAATTTACCAAGACGTGTTCCTGGTGATGATTTAGGAGAAGCTATTGCGTTATGGAGAAGTGGCGCATTAACAAATTGGGAATACATAATTTGTTTAAATAAACTTGCTGGACGTTCTTACAATGATCTCATGCAATACCCTGTATTTCCGTTCGTGTTAGCAGATTATATTAATGATAAAATTGATCTAAATAATCCAAAAATTTATCGGTAAGTTATACAGAAAATCAGAGAGGGAGAGTTCGTTTTTTATTTTAAAGATAATGATAAATAATTAAATAATATGAATAAACGTCTTTACAGAAATTTTAAACGACCTATGGCTGTGCAAGATAAAAAGAATGAACAACATTATATAAATAATTACAATGTAAGTATTTAATTAAATATAAATATGTATTATATATAATAATAAAATGATTAAAATATATTAATTAAATATTCCTTTCAGTATTTAAAACAAACTCTATCAGAAGGTTTAAATTTAATTGCCTTAAATCAAGAACCATTCCACTATGGATCTCATTATAGTAACTCGGGCACAGTTTTACACTTTTTAGTAAGATTACCGCCCTTCACCAGCATGTTTTTATGTTATCAAGGTATTTTAAAAATGACATACATAATAATTAAAAATATTTCATGATTATTAAGTAAACATTTTTTTTTTGTTAGATAATAACTTTGACATTCCTGATAGAACATTTCACGCATTAGCAACTACATGGAGATTAACTAGCTGCGATTCAACCACTGATGTTAAAGAATTAATACCAGAGTTTTTCTATTTACCAGAATTTTTATTAAACTTTGAAGGTAAAAAAAGTATATAAATATATGCGATAGGAATCATTTACATTAAAATTTGAATTCAAAACAATTTTATTACATTCTAGGATTTAATTTTGGTGTACGACAAAATGGTAATAGAGTTGGCGATGTTGAATTACCTAAATGGTGTGCGGGTGATGCTCGCTTGTTCATATTAGCACATAGAGCTGCGCTCGAAACAGACATAGTAAGGGAAGTTTTACCATACTGGATTGATCTCGTGTTTGGTTTTAGACAAACAGGACGACCAGCAGTGGAAGCAATTAACGTTTTTCATCCAGCTGTGAGTTATATTATTGAAAATGAATGATATGAAATAATTACAAATTTTAATCTCACAATCATAACATTTTATATCGAATAGACATATTATGGATTCAATGTAGAACAAATAGCTGATCCTCTAGAACGTCAGGCATGGGAAACAATGGTACGGACATATGGACAAACACCAGCACAGTTGTTTAGAACTGCACATCCGTTACCAAATCAAAATCTTGGTACAGTAGTAAATTCTACTTCTATGCTGCAAGTTATTGAAGGCGTCGAAGGTAATTTTATTTATTTTGATTGTTTTATTTGAATAATAAAACTGTTATATTTATCTACGTTTTATATTGTAGGTATTAAATGGGGGAATTATGTAGGAGCACCTGGAAATGAGCCTTCACTTTGCTGGAAACATAAACATAGAACTTCATTATCTTATCTTATTCCTTTAGCAACAGGTGATGTGTTTGGATTACCTAATTATACGACACTTCTCATAGGATATACTAAAGAAAAAGGTCAGATATATATAATAATAATTATTAATTACACTTTTATATAATAGAAGATATAATAATGTTCGTGTTAATAATATTATTATATTCGTAGGTACTAGTATGTTTAGTGGAATGTCTGTTCTGGGTGCTGCACTTGCATCATGGAGTGGAAATGATGGAATAGCAAGACTGAAATGTAAGAAAGAACAACCTCCCAAACCATTAATGAAATCTTCTGGCCTCGACCCTGTGAGTGTATCAAAAAATATTTTAAGGTAATCTTTTATATATTAACAAATTTATTAACTTATTAATATTCTTTCAGATTACAATTTTAGCATCTGCTCCCGATTGTGGCCAATTATGGACTGGTTATTTATCTGGAAAAATAACGGTACACACATATAACATTGGAACTAGTGGAAAAATAGAATTTAGTTCGGTTCCAGCATCTGTACTTTTAGCTCATAGAAGTAGAGTTATTGCAATTTCCTTGTCAAGGGCATTTAGTATTGCAATTTCTGGAGATGGAAATGGTGTTATTGTTATTTGGGATTTAAATAAGTACGTATCTTGATTCGTGTAACAAAATATTGTATTATAAGTAGTACAATAATTTAATTATATATTCTAGCTTATCATATGTAAGGTCGATAGTCTGTGATTACAAATATGCCATCCATCTTTTATCGATCAGTGAAACGCTTGGAGACATAGCAGTAACATATGAAAGATTTAATAAGACTGATAAAAAGGACTTGACAGTTCGATCTGAATTACGAGTTTATACTATAAATGCCAGAAGTGTAGGTTCTATTTTATCTAAAGCTCGAATAACAGCTCTGTGTTATAGTAATGCGCCTGAAGGAGTTTCCGTTAATGTCGTTGCAACCGGATTGGATAATGGAGTAATAAGGTATATTGCATTTATACAAAATATATGGGAATAACTTCAGAAATGATTTCAGTATGCTAAAATAAGAAAAAAGTTCAAATAATCATATGCCCGATATTTAGAAATACTCTATATATTTTGGATTTAACTTATATATTAGAAAAATTGTTCAATCTTTTATTTACTCAGATTATGGAGTAGTTGGAACTTACGATTGGTTCGAGAAATCATAAATACTACGAAAGGATGTGGAGCTATAATTGCCATAGCTTGGGCTTTGGACCAACACCATTTATATGCAGCTACAGAAGATTGTACAGTTTTAATATGGGAAGGTTCAAAACGTTTGAGCAATGGAACTCCGAAATTTGTTAATTTAACATCGCTTTAAAATAAGTAAACAAAAAAAAATATATATATATAGATAAATATAATCTTCCTAACAAAAATTTTTTACTTTTAATAGTTTAAGTAATTGACGTTATTTCATTTTAAATTTAAGTGCCTATAATTAATGATTAATCAATATTACAAAGTTTTTCAGGTGTAATTTTTACAGTATAAAAGAATATCAAACGTTATGAAACATTTATCTATTTTGAAAGATATTTTTATCTGTCATAATGAATATTGAGAAAGAGAATGAACAATATACTAAAGTATTAATAAAGCATTTTGTATACGATACTTGATAATTTTAATGATAAACAAATAATTAAAAGTATATTTTTATACATTTATACCAAGATTCGAAGTAGAAAAATAGTATCGTTTTATCCTTTTAATTACTCGTTTATGAATGCATATTCATGTTGATATTATCACGTACTTGATCAATTAGTATTTAATATATTGCTTTACCGATGATTAGGAATGTAATTATTATCTACAATTATAGTGTATATACAAGTGTCTCAATTAAGAGAAACCGATACTGATTAAAAGCTAAAGATTTAAAATTTATATATTATTCTTGTCCATAATATTACAATAACTTATATTTATAAATACACGATCGTAATATTTGTATTAACATTAATAGTTATAAATTTTATACACATGTACATAAATGCTTAATAAATTTATAATGTAATATAAGTCTAAATATATAACTTTGTTTTAAATTTCATTTAAATACGGTTCGATTATTTCGAAAATTGGATAATATTTACCAGTTCTTTTAGCAATTTGCTCGGGGGTATTACCGCTTGAATTTACTATCAAGGGATTTGTATCAGGATTTAAAAGAAGAAGCTGTAAAGCAGAAGAATTATGAGAACTCGCTGACACTAAATGTAAAGGGGTTTGATCTCCTTTGCTTTTTGCATTAATATCCGCTCCGTTAGCAATTAGAATGGCAGCACATTCAACGTTGTTCCAACAACAAGCAGAATGTAAGGGTTGCCATCCATCCATAGTCTTTGAATCTATTTTTGCACCCGCTTTAAGGAGATGCTAATAATAATTAAAAATTAAAAAACCCTATTACTTGGCACAACATTCATTTAAATATCATATGTCTAAAAATCAATTCATATTTAACACGTTCCCTGTCACATGTACTATTTCCTATATATGCTGTAACTCATTTCTATATCAGATAATATATGATTTATTAAAACTTTTAATGTGTATAATTTTTAGTATAAGGAATGTGGAAATGACACTTAATCGACAGTAGTTTGATAAATAACGTATTAAGTAAGATGCATCTCAAAACGTATCATAACGCATCTCAAAATTAATTCATAGTTAATTAAGATGCGACTTAAAGAATATGCAAGTATCATACCTTAACAATTTCCACGTGATTTCCATAACACGCTCTATGAAGTGGCCTATATCCATCCTTATCTCTACATTCCACTAAGTTAGGATCTTTTATCAATAATAAGTTAACCTTATCTTTATCACCATTTTCAGCGGCACTTAAAATTGCTTTTTCATCCGGCTCTGAAATCAACAAATGAACGATTTCGTTAAAATATAATAGGGGAAGAGAAGTACTTAATAAAACTACAAATAAATTTCCTTTAAATTTATAACCTTTTGCATTACGCTCAGCTTCTACACCGTCATCGTCGTCTTCCCAGGCACTAACTTGCATACGATCGTAACGCGGTTGACTTAACATTTTATCGCGTATCTCTTCTAAATCTATTAATTCGTCATTTTCATCCTCCGAAGACATTTTTAAATCGAATAACTAAATTTAATAATAGAACTACAGAAAAAACGTAAAATGAATCTATAGAAATTGACAACACGATATAAGCAAAGAATACAGGAAGTACATAGAAGCTCACAAGTCCACGTTTCGCGTAACCACATTCATCTTAGTTACTAACCTGAAAACCAGTAGACGAGGGTAGATATTTAACGCGATTTGATAGTTTGTATCGTAATACAAGATAATGATGATTTGATGTATTCACTAAGATGAATGTGGTTACGCGAAACGTGGACTTGTGAACTTCTATTTACTTCTGTATTATTTAATATAATACTAGGGAAACTACGAAGTCCCTATATCTGTCACTTATGTCTAGATTTGAATTCATGGTGTCATCGTAGGAAAGTTTTTCTGGTTTTTATTAAGTTGGCTAACCTTGCTTAGTTTATTAACTGGATTTTCAAATCTTGAATCACTAACGGTAAACGTGTAACGATATAATCTTTCAAAAAGTAGACTTTATATTACGAAAAAATCATATAAATATTTGTTAAAAAATAATATGAAATATAAATAAAAATGGTTGAAGACACAATTCGGGTAGCTGTACGTATTAGACCACTCATCAGAAGTGAAATAGAAAAAGGATGTGAAGAATGTTTAAACACAACACCTGGACAACCACAAATAATTGTTAAAAATACAGAGAAAGCATTTACATTTAATTATGTTTTCTCTCCAGATATTAATCAAGAAAACTTTTATAACACAGCTATCAAAGATATGGTTACACATATATTTGACGGTATATATGATTAATATATTATATCTAAACTATCATATAAACTTTCTTATAAGATTTGATAATATCTATGATATAATTTAATTTATTTCATTTTTGTAAACTTGTAGGTTATAATGTTACTATTCTTGCATATGGACAAACAGGAAGTGGAAAAACCCATTCAATGGGTACCGATTATAGCGGGGAAGAAGATATGGGTGTAATACCTCGTGCTATGCATGATATCTTTAATATAGTGAAATCCAAAACAGAATGGAATTTTCGAACATCTGTGTCTTTTATGGAACTTTATCAAGAACAGTTATATGACTTATTGTCAGATAAACAACGTAGTCATAGTGTCATAGATATTAGAGAAGATAATAAGGGGATCAAAATTGTGGGTGTTACGGAGAAGGAAGTTCAAAGTGCAGAAGAAAGCCTAAAATGTTTAATTGAAGGATCGCAAGGAAGAGTAACGGGCTCTACTGCAATGAATGCTCAAAGTAGTAGAAGTCATGCAATATTTACCGTATATATCCATCAACAAAAAAAAAATGATCCGTAAATATTTTCTTCTTAATATATTTATCTTAAATAACGGAATATTTATAAAAAAAAAAAAATTATCAATTTCTTGTACTACAGCAATACAGCAACAACTGCTAAATTTCATTTGGTGGATTTGGCTGGTTCTGAACGTTCGAAAAAAACTCAAGCCACTGGAGAAAGATTTAAAGAAGGCGTTCATATAAATAAAGGTTTATTGGCGTTAGGAAATGTTATTTCTCAGTTAGGAGAAGGTGGTAATAATTCATATATTGGCTATAGGGACAGCAAACTTACAAGATTATTACAAGATTCGCTTGGTGGAAATTCCATGACTCTTATGATAGCATGTGTCAGTCCGGCAGGTAATACATTAAGTATATGATAGTAATCATTATTTCTCTAGCTTAGGTACGAGTCTATTTCTATTTATATACATTCTTTTAAATGGAATATTTTTTCTATAGATTATAATATGGATGAAACGCTTAGCACATTAAGATACGCAGATCGTGCACGTAAAATAAAGAACAAACCAGTGGTCAATCAAGATCCAAGAGTAGCCGAAATTAATCGTCTAAATGAATTGATACAACAATTGAAACTTGCTCTTTTAAATCAAGGATCGCAACAATCCTGTTCGAGCGATTGTCAAGAATTACGCAAAAAAAATGAATTATTGCAACAAAAGATAAGAGATTTGACAGACCAAGTAAATAGCAATTTAATCAAAATGGTTTATATGCACGAAAGAACTGAACTCGCCGAACAATTACACGATAAAATTAAATCTGAGATGGCTGTGCTATTAAAAGATTGTAAAGAATTGTTAGATAATTATAATGACAATTGTGGAGTAAATGACAAGAATTATGTTAAATTAAAAGTTATATATGGAAAAATTCTTGGTAAGTTTGTATCTTGGACGATATAGATTTATTCTTTCTATATATTATCTGATTTTAATTAACTTTATGTTTTATGTTCAGACATACAAACAAATGACAATAAAATATCGGAAGAGCTCTTTAATCATGCAATGTCCCTGGACTCTAAATTCCCTGGATTAAAAGAGACTGAAAATGATGCGAATAATGAATCCAACGATGAAGAATTATCTAGCTGTTTGGAAGACTTTGATAAAAAACATGAAGAGCATACCTCGATTCAAACAGAGAGAAATAATCAAGTTCAAAACATCAACAGAGAGTTGGCAATCAAGGAACACCTTATATCAGAACTTTTAAAAAATTCTTCTCCTGCTATTGAATATTCTAAGGAATTGCAAGATATGGAACAAGAAATAAAAACTCTTCAATCTGAGAAGGATGAACTTTTAGTAGCTCTACGCAATGCTCAAGCCAACAATGCTAGTTCGAAGTAAGTTAAAATCTATTATTATTTAAATTATTAATAGTTGTATGTGATTTAGTGTATATAAGTTTTTATTATTTTATTATACGCGTTATATATATATATACAGATTAGCAGAAAGTCGTCGTAAAAAAGTAAAAGAGTTGGAAAAGAAGATATCGGAATTGACTCAAAAATGTTTGGAACAAAGTAAAACATTAAAGGCAAAAGAAAAATTACAACAGCAAATTAAAAATTTAACTAATGAAATTCAATCCCTAAAGCAAATAAGAGTGAAATTAGTCAGACAAATGCGTAGCGATGCTGACAAATTTGCAGAGTGGAAACGAACTAGGGAGAAAGAACTTTACAAGTTAAAGGAGCTTGATCGTAAACGAGCTAATCAACTAGTACGATTACAAATGCAGCATAACAAACAACAAAATGTATTCAAAAGAAAAATGGAAGAAGCTTACGCAGCTAATAAAAGATTAAAGGTAAATTAAATAGTTTTACGTTTACACATTAGATTTAAATTATAAATAATAATAATAATAGAGAGAAAAGATCTTTAAATGAATAATGTTAATATTTAAAATAGGATGCACTGGAAGTACAAAAGAAAGCAAGTAAAAGAAGAGAAAAGGCGTTTAATAACAAAAATGATATTCAATCATGGGTGAGACAAGAAGTTGATATATTATCAAGTACTGTTGATGCAGAAAGTGCACTTCAAAGATTAATAAACGACAGAGAATATTTGAAATCTCAGTTAGAAGATCTTAAAAATGATTCGAATGATCATGAGACAGAAGTGGCAGAACTTACTGAATTTTTTACTTTACGTAATACACAAATACAAGATTTACAACAAAAAATTAATGAAGCAAATGAAGGTATAAAAATAGTGTTTTTTAAAAGATCTAATATGCATCTATACTTATATAGATATTTTTTTGATATTACTTTTTTTACAGAGAATAGAGCAAATATAAGAATGAATACAATACAATCCATTAGCGATGCTAAAGTTGCTATTAAATGTCTTTTTGACGTTACCTCTGAAGATAGGAAAAAGTTTATGGTTGTTTATAGTATTATATTATTCCTGAAAATTTACGTCTCATTTTGCTTACGAAGTTTTATATAATTTTAGGAACAATATACAACTTTGCAAACGAATTTGGATGAATGCCGTCAAAGAGAGGAAAGACTAAAACAAGAATTACAAATGTATAAGAATCAACTAAATGATACTGAGAAAAAGGTAAAGTAAATTTTAAATACTTCTTTAATAAAAATTACACTATAATGATATTAAAATATACGCGTTATTGATAAAACAATTGTTAATATATTTTGCAGGTTCTAAAAGAGAATGTTAATAGAAACAGTATGAAGAACGGTAAAAAATCTTCAATTACAAGTATGACAAAAGTACAAACATTGTCTTCGAACTACGTCAACAACTTCTTTGCATCAGATGATAGCATAAGTGATGATGACGTAGAAAAAGATCCAGATTGGACTCAAACTCCACTTTATAATAAAATACGAAAGCTTTTGGTATAATACTTATATTTAAATGTCAATATTGGAATAATTATATATTTTATTTATACCACATATATCATGTATTATTTATCTGTCCAGGATACAACGAAAAATTCTAAGCCACCCGTAAAGCAGCTATTCGACGGAGAAGTGAAATGCGCCTGTAAAAGAAAATGCAACACTCGTATCTGTTCGTGTCGCAAAAATAATCGTATATGTAACAATTGTAATTGTAACCCGGATTTATGTCAAAATAACGATATAAACAAGGTAAGTTCGAGATGCAGTATTAACCCTTTCATTACGGCATGCTTTGATCTGAATATCACTTAATATAAATTCGCTCGTACATGCGTATCGTCGCGTGGTTATACAACCCCTATAAGTGTTGACGGGACTTTTTCATTGCCGACTAGTATATAGATAGCTCATCTTCTAAAGGTTTTGAGTCCATGATATATATATATATATATATTTTTTTTTTTAAAGCACACCCAACCGTATTTTCAAGATTACGGGGAAGAAGACCAAGATGAAAATTTAATAAAGAAACCAAGGTATGTAATAATTTTCTAATGTATAAATTATGTTCTTACCATTTTCTTATGTGTACACGTTAATATATTAATATTTTTTTAAATACTTTTTTTTAAGATTAACTAAACAACTTTCAAGCAGCGATGTTCAAGAAATTTCTGAATAAATTTTCATTTCAATCGTAATAATAAGACTCTATTCACTAAGAAATTATTTAATATTGTATATATATCATCTTTATCTGAAAAACCGTACGTTATTTTTATATTATATGTATTGTTTATTTTATAATAAAAGACTTCGTGATACGCCCAGATAAAGAAAATCAAAAATGCAACGATATAATTTGCATGTCACAAATACAAAATTATAATTTATTCTTCATTTATACATAAAATTAAAAAATGTATAATAAAACTTTAATGATCATTTTATTTTTGTTATTTTAAACATTTCATTTTAAAATTTTTATAAGGTAGAATCATAACTTTAGTACCTAGAACGGTAGCAGATGTCATTAATGTTCCAAGCGCCATTCCGGTATTAACCAATACGATTTGATCTCTAGTTCAAACGCTTTGTCGATGGTCCGCGGAATCGGGATTTCAATATGGCTACCGTCGTGATGTCTGCAGAAGCCAGTATCGCGGAAATGTTTTGAATTCGTTTAGTAATCGTGACGACAGATTGACGTGCGAGGCATAGGTCAGTAAGACATATTTATGATCATTTTTCATCCTTAATTTTTCATTCAATTAATTGTCTGGTGTCAGAAAATCATTGTACGCGAGAATCGTTCGGTCGTAGAACTTCAAAATTCGCTCGTACGTACTTACAGTTTGACGCGAGAGTAGAGAGGTTAGTCGGCGATTGATATTTATTATTAACGCGTAGAAAATCACTGAAAATACACAGGTATGAATATTATTTCCTAAGATGGATAGAATATCATTGAAAAGCAAAAGCGGAAGAGTGCGCGCGCGTATTATAGTGCTGCGTGATGCGCTAGGTGAGAGGAGAAAACCAAGGGAGCGGCAGGGGTAGGGGATGAATGCGAAAGAGAGAGAGAGAGAGAGAGAGAGAGAGAATGCGTGAGCGTACTGTGTGTAAGTAAGTATATTATTATGTGTAATGTGTATGTATGCATATGAAAGAGAGAGAGAGAGAGAGAGTACGAATATCCTACTACGTACACTATGTGTGATATATGCGATAAATAAAATATAAAACGGATGTGCTTTGATAAAATTGCGTGGCACCTTTTTGCCATATTAATTCGGCTGCACGCGAAAAGAAATCATTTTGAAAGGAAAGAAATAAAAAACAGCACCTCTGTGAATGGTCCAATTGTTCCGGTCTTATTTCGGAAGAAGGTCGAGAGTGAGTGTCTCTTCGCGCGTGTACTTAAACATGAAGAAGAGTACAAAAAATAAGTCTCGACAATGCAATAACGATAACGAAAGAGACGATGGCGGGATGGTGCGGTTGGCGACGACTGATGACGGAGGAAAAGGTGAAGGCGGATGGATGGAAAGGATGGATGGTGGGATGGTGGAGGTGATGGTGGAGGTGATGGTGGAGGCGGTGGCGAAGGCGTAGGAGGAGGAGGAGGAGGCGGTGACAGCAATAATACGTAACGTAACGTAAAACGTTTGACGTTTACCGGCCATGCGGTCTACGAAGTGTACCAATAACATCAACCTATTCTCAAATGCGTCCTTGTTATCTCTGGACGTGACCTCATTTTGTCTGTAAGTTCAAATAGAAAATGCAGCCTGAGATCAAAGTCGTTTTCCTTAAAATAACATCTAAACAAACTATTCATTTTCTGTGCATTTATATTTACATAATTTGTTTCAATTGATGTCCATTATACTGAATACGCAATTCATATAGTTTAATTACCGATGTACATATAACGGAACACAACTGAAGGTTGGTGGTGTTTGTGTAAAAGCTTTTTTGGAGAAACCGACTTTTATTTCACCCTGCATATCACATATCTATATATTTTATCTTATTTCATTTTAACATGTTGTTCCTTTTTGTTCGTCCTTCATTTCATCGACAAGACCTAATCGCAAAACACGTTTCCTGTTTTAAATCTATTCTTATCAAAAAGGGTAGAAACTTTTTTTTTTTAATTATTCTTGAAAGGAAGTTTAACATTGTTATACCACCGAGATTCTCTTCTTCAATCCTTTTTTTCTGGATTTTTTCTTAATCCTGAAAGATTTATAGTACAATACACGATGCAGTTATTATTCTAAGTGGGTTAAATCAATCTTCTTAAATGACTCCTTTGTAACATTGAGACATTTCCTTGCGATTCTTCCAATGTAATGTATTTGCTTGAATGCTATTCGTAGGCACAGCCAGATTCTCTTGGAAAGCTTGATTTCTAACTCATTATGTTTGAAAATAGTTGCTAGATGTAAAATACGGTAGTAGCCAGATGCTGATGATTGCCAATAGTTTCATTATGGCTAATATTAACTTTCAGAGAAATGAACACTTTAATTTTACCGATTCTTGTGTCTTTTTAGAGAATCAATAAAAGCATTGGCAATTATATAAAAATAAAATTTAAGTATGTTTATGCAAAATCAATATATGTTGGAAGCAAGAGTACCAACATAATTTATGCATTTGTTTCAGGAAGTCAATTATGTTACATGCAACGATGCTGATAACCAGTAAGGTGAGATTATCTACACTTGGTATTTATTTATATTTGTAACATAATTTTTAGTATGCTGTCATATTTTTATCTGACCTAAAAAAAACAATATATTTGATTAATATTTAATATTGTATATATCAACGCAATTCTATTGATTTACGATTGTACCGATCGAACGTGACTAAAATGCGAATGCGGTATATTTTAACTGCACTTCGCTAATACAGCCTGAAAATGAAAAAGAAAAAGAAAAAACAAGAGACATCTCGACCTTGTTTTTTCGAACGAACGAATTGGAATAAAACAGCCATTCGAAAAACTTTGGGCTTATGCTTGTGCCGCCGCCCTTACATTTATATCTGTACCTTCGTCGTACATATTGTTTTCAAAGCTTCTGTTCTGATCTTCATTGATGCGAATCTACACAATATTCGACAATGTTTCATTGTGCTGTACATCAAAGGTTAGATAGAAATTATTTTCGGAATACGCCATTTTGAATGGCCGAAATTTCAAGAGAAATGAACGATTGTTATTGATCTTTAAAATGTTTATGAATTTTTTAACTGATATAAATTGATTTTGGATTTTACATTGTATCAGTTTGCCTTATAAAATTATGGCGAGATTTAGCACGACACAATATTTTCAGACGCCATTGGAAGGGAGAAGAAGTCTTCCTCTAGGAGCAGCAAAATCTTCTCCATCTCCCAATGGATATATAATATTTTTTAACGAATTTTTCTTCTCGTTTATTCTTATTTTTCAGCACCGTTGTGTATACCTTAGAATAGCTGTTATTTTTGGACCAATGACTCACAAACACACACATTATCTGCGGAAAGTTTACCTTTGTCTTTTCGTTTCCACCATATCGAATAATCTAATTTCGTTTGTCGTACCAAAGAACTTATCGTTTAATTTCATTCCCTTGAACGTTTTCTTGATTCCAATTTTTATCTTTAATCAAATCGTTTATTGCACAAACGATTATTATCTTTCTTGATATAAATTCGTAGAAAAAAGAGAATTTAATTTGTATTAAATGATTATGATCGTTTCAAGTCATTTTTTAAAGAAGAGAAAAATAAGAGAGATAAAGGATTAAATATTAAATTGGGCGAACACAAGTTTCTTAGTATTTTAATGCAAAAGTTAAACGAGGTCTTTTAATATTTTAAATGAACTTTATTAAATTAAATATGCGCCGCTTTTTTAATTACTTTGTGATGTGTCAGCTTCAAAACGCATACAAGTAATGCCAAATCTAATTAAAGCCATTTGCCTAGAAAATACGAAGAAAAATTTGTCTTCTCAATCCAATACATAAAAAGATAGAGAAAGATATTGAAAACAAAATAGAAAAGGATTTCGTCTCTAAATATTCATTCCTTTAAGATTCTCTTGTCCTTGACTTACTGCTTTTCTGCATTTGCCATTTCGATTCCCATTCCTTTTCAAGCCACATATATACATATATTTCGTACCCTTGAACGTTTTTGGTTTCGTGTGTAAATGTAAAATGCTTGCATCTAACGTGAACGTTTTATTCGTATCAGAAATCTTTATATTTTTCCTTAAGCAGAGTAACGATTAAATCGTCAAGGTTTCAACGCTTTTCTTTCACCCTTTTCTTTCAAGATTTTTATTCCCTCGTTAAAAAATTGCCAATCAACCGATCAGCCATAAATAATTCTAGTGATATCGAGACAGGATTCGATCCATCAACCAACGATAATCTTAATAAAAAGAACAAAATAATGTTCATGGTCTCCACGCACGATACAAGTGAAACTCATATAATCATGTATAATAAAATAATCAATTGATTCATATATATACGGTGGGTGTCCCTTAAAAAAGTAAGAATAATAATACAAAGTACATTTGTTTAAAAATGACATATCTATTAATATACTTCGAATATTAAACAATTTCGATCTGATATTTTATTAGATGAAAATAAAAAACTCGAAGTTATCACTGTAAATAAAAAATAAAAAAATGTATTTTAGTTGAAATAATTGAAAGTATTAGTAGAGTACGTTAGAGTGTGCGATATATTTAAATTAATTGTTAAATAATAAAAAAAAATGTATATTTGTAGTGTAGAAGCACGGAATATAAGTTCGACGACCCTTCCTCTTCGAAATCCGCTGTTAGACTGTCCCGTTGTCTTCTATGAAAGTCGGTTATATTTCTTTTATTGATTTTTATTTATATGACTTTCCAAATAGGGAAATTCTATTTATTATACGAATATATATTATTTTCTGTATACATATGTAGTCTTCGGAAAGTCATATAAACAAAAATCAATAAAATATATTTGATCGACTTTCATAAAGAACTTCGAGCCAGTCTAATGGGGAGGGGGGGGAATTTTGAAAAGACGGTGCGTCGAACTTATACTCCGTGTTTCTTTCGATTAATTATTAATTATTTAAGGTATATCGAACATTTTAATGTACTTTGCTAATATTTTAAATTGTTTAAACTAATATTCAAAGTATATTAATAGATATGTCATTTTCAAACAAATGTATTTTGTATTATTCTTATTTTATTAGGTATATATAAAGTGATTCTGATACACCCACAGACACACACATCACTCTAACACTAGAACCTTCGATAATCTCGTTCTATTGTCGATCGACTGAAGGTTTTATCTTATTCTTTTTCTTCCTACCTTTATGCTCCTTCTCTCTTCATGTCGTTTTATAACATTTTATCGTTACCGTCGTCTAAGAAGTTTCATTTCAAAAAGAAGAAAGAAGAAAAGAAAGAAATGGAGCCAGAGAATTCAGTAAAATGATCAATCTCAATGAATTCGCTACCCCCTCTCACCAAATCGTGTATAAAACGTCTATCGTCTAACCGTATTTTTCTCTCAAAGAGAGAAAAAAAATCTATTTCGCCGTTTTGTTGATAGTTGCCACGACGTTTTCTCGGGAAGCTCATTCAGATCCATTTTCTACGAGCTTGTCGGTTGACGTTTGCTCCTGATATTAAGGGTACTAGAATTGCTGGATTCGAATTGACATGACTATCAGGGACTCGTTAACGGTTAAAACGTCAATGTCGCGTGTGTAAATGCAAGTACGAGAGAGAGAGAGAGAGAGAGAGAGAGAGAGCTAGAGCTAAAGTTATAGTTAAAGTTATAGTTATGGTAAAAGCAAGCAAGCACAAGAGAGAGAAACGTAGAATTCGATGGTGGGGGTAGAAAATGGTTAACGCGCGAAGGTAGCGCCTCTTTCGCGGTGCTGGAAGATAGAAGACGAAAGAGGGAACGTTGTGGCTAGGTGTATGTGTGTACTGGGTGTTATCTTTTACGTATATATGTGTATTCGTGTGTATAAGTGTGCTCTCTCTTTCTCTCTCCCTCTCTCTCCCTCTTTCTTTCTGTTGGGAAAGGGGTGGAGCGGAATAAGTGGGGGCGGTTCGTTTAACACGCAGGATCAGCTTCGGGCAGACAGAACCTCGGCTCCGTCGCTTTTGCCTACCTCTAACTAGTACCTCCGCCGCATTCGTACGCGATACGAAGTACACGCGACCCTGCCGAATCTGTGAGATTTTCATACAGATATCACTTTTTAACATTATCTGTGTCTATCTCTCTCTCTCTTTCTCTCTCTCTCTTTCTCTCTCTCTCTCTCTCTTTCTCTCTTTCTCTCTTTCTCTAATCTTCTACTCGTTAGTGTATTATACACACACACACACAAATATATATATATATATATATATTTTCTCTTTTTCTCTCTCTCTGTTTGTCTTTTTTTTTCTATCTATCTATTTATCTTTATCTTCTTTTCCAATTATATATTGTATATCTTTTCCTCTCTCTTTCTTTTTCTATGTCTAATATATATATGTATATGTGCCTCTCTCTCTCTCTCTCTTTCTCTTCCTTCGTCTTCTTCGTCTGTTGGTCGCACGCGCGCGCATTGCGAACCCTTGGCACCCTTAGCGTTTTCTCTCTCTCTTTCTCTCTCGTGCAACTTCACCCCCACCTTCTCCTACATCCGTCATTTCACCTCCTTCCCTTTAGCACTACTCCACCTACCCTCTTCGTCTTCCTCCTCTTTTCCCTTTTATCCAGATCGCATCGATCTCGCCCTCGCACGAAGCGTTAACAATTAAAGGAGCACGAGAGAAGGAGTTAGAGTAAAAGGAGGAAGGGCAAAAGCGCAAAAAAGACATTATCGCTTCGTTTTCTTAGCACAGGACACGATCGACCTCGGCATTCGAGTTAAAAAGAGGAAGTCTCTCTTTTTTTTTTCTTCTTATATCATAGAGGGGTTGGTTAAGGTTAATTATAATTTATGCGTAAGAAAGCGTTCAATTATGTTTAATTTTCTTTTTTCTACATTTTTTTTTGTATTGCTTGTGGAGAAGAGAGAGAGAGAGAGAGGAAGGGTAAGATTGACAAAGAGAAAGAATTATTAGCACAAGAGGTTTTTTTATTTTTCTTTGTTTGTTTTATTTTACTTTTGTTCCTTTTAATCGTTATACGATCCCTACGCAGTTGGAAAGTACGATATATAAAGGAATAAAAAAAGAACAAAAAAGTACATAATGTTACTTGCGTAGGCGTTCGTGCTTGTAGAACGGACTGAATAAAACTACTAGTTACGAGGGTACGAGTTAGAATGACGAACAAAGAGAGCACCGTTTATATGATACAAGTGTATGCACACATCATATTATGCGAAAATATATACATAAGTATATACACGCACACATACACGCACTTACTCCGTTTGTATGCGTTTCTAATAGCTGCGAGTAACACGCGAATTTACGCGTACTTGCGTTCGCGTAAACGAACACGCCTACATGGAGTTACACGTTAGAAAGAAAAGGGTGAAACTTCGAGGGGGATAAAACAACATTATTCTCTATTTCTTTTTTTTTTCCTTGTTTCTTTTTGGAAGAAAAATTTGCTTAACTTCCAACGCCATTATCTTTTTTCTATCTCCAACACTTTTATTCTCCTTTTTCGCTTTGACACCCTTTTTTCTTTTCTTTCTCCGTTCTTTTTTTTTTTTTTTATCCCATTCTCTCTCTCTCTCTCTCTGTTTAAAATCTCTTTCACTCGCTTTTCTTTTGTCCTAATATAAAAAACTCGATCTTTCATAAATGACTTTATTGTGGCTTAAACCAAGCGATATTAATTATTATCTTTTTTCCTTTTTTTTTTTTAATCTTTGCCTTCTCTCTCTCTCTCTCTCTCTCTCTTTCTTTCTCTTTTTCTACTCGTGTATATATGTATTAGAAGTACTGTAAAAAACAAGAACGAGTTGTAAGGTACACAAGTGGTACATATGTATATACCGCTTCTTCAAACTAAAACTCACAGCGAAATGAACTAGCATTATCGTTGCTAAACATTTCCATTTAGCGTTTCTAATTCTAACGATCCTTATAGTATACACTTGTATCTAATATCGTTGCATTTTTGAAATAGAATCATGCGATCAAACGCCAGAGAAAAAGAGTTTGTCTTTCGTTTTATTATTCGTAGTATTATTTTTCGTTAACGCGCGAACAGTATTATTATCGTAGTAGTATATTTTCCTTCGCTTGATATATATCAATAAAATATACAAATAAAAAGATAACATTTTGAAACAAAGTTAATTTTATCTCACGCTGTTTTACGTCAAAGATTGACATTACACTGTAGTTTAAAAAAATGTTCTTCAAAAGTCAAGGGTTAATTTGATCATTTAAATATCATCGAAGTTGATCGAGCCATGACATTGGGTGGGGATAAAGAAAGAAGGAAAAAAAAGGAACAAACGATCAACAAAATCTTTCATTGCTGACCTTAAATAATAGTTAGAGGTATTGTTTTTTAAAATAGATTTTATAAAAATATCTGATAAAAAGTCAAGTATGTATTGGCAAATTGTATATATGAATAATACACTTGGAGAAGAATCAATACGGAGATCGAATAGTGTAGGTGTATAGAAGAAAAAAAAGAATTTGTAGCAAATTCTTAAGGAATTGGATGAGAGAATGAGAGGGGGAGGGAGGTGACTTTTAGCCCGGCTAAAGGATCATCCCTTATTTGAAAGCGCACATAAAAAATATTAAAAAGATTTTGTTCTTATTTTCTCTATCTATTCTCTATTTCTCTCTCTCTTTCTCTTTCTCTTTCTTTTACTTTCTTTTTCATCGCCATTAGATATTGTATAAGAATGAAATTTTGATACAGGGGAAGGGGAGAAAGGACGAATTGAAAAGTGAAAAAGAACGTTCGTGCGTATAATAATCGGAATATTGTTCGTTCGTTCGTTCGTTCACATTGTGAAAGAGGTGATGCCTTTGAATCCTAATGACCAGACCATTTTATATATTTCGTGTCGCGTGTGTGAGTTGTCGTCGTTTGTTGGATTGTTGTTGTTGTTGTCGTCGTCATCGTCGTCGTTGTTGTCGTCGTCCTCCTTCTCCTCCTGTTCTTCTTCTTCTTCATCGTTGTTACAGCAGCACGGTGAAGTGCGCGTGTGTTGTACATCGATCGAATCGCGACGCGTGCACTTGTAACGAGTTTTTAACGTCGCTGTTTTAAGAGTGATACACCAAGAGACCACCCCCACCTTTTAATTCATATAATAATAATAACGACCAACAACAACGCACCGAAGAGAATTTTTTCCTAGCGAGTAGTAATTGCCACGAGTATATTATCGAAATATACGAGTCCGACGACTTTCACCCCCGTATTTGATACGACACAACGAGCGGTAAGTGTACGATACATTTTTTTCCCCTTTTTTTTTTCCTTTTTTTCCTTTTTTTTTTCCTTCTTCTTCTTTTCAGAGATAAGAATTTTGTAACGATCTAAAACAACAGGGCTTCTCAAACCTTTGTTGTTCGGCGATACCCCTCTTTCTTTTTTTTTCACCGCTCCATGGTATTACAGGCGTATATAAACTAGGAATTAAATGAATGTATTCAAATCATGCTCAAATTTTTACGATCCCCTATAATGCGTCGACAGATAGGTCTTGAGAAGTCTTAATCTAGGATGTTTTCAGCGAGTAATTAACCGGAAAGGAATATCAAAACGTTCGAATGTTATATTTTATGTATCTACGTACTTTCATTTTCTGTAACATCATTTATCGTTATATATACTATTGTACCGTTATATTGGAAGGTCCTGGAAAAGGAAGAAAATGAGTCAGTAATATTTTATACTCGTTTGATTATAAAGATTATACGAGCATCTTAATAATGGTTAAACGTGAACCAAATCCAAATAATCACAACACTTGTCACTCTCTATGGATTTCTATTCGACTGTGAATAGTGGTTAGCAGCAAAGTAGCATTTAAAAGCAAAAGACACCGATAATCACGTCTCATTGTCAGATTATTGTCATACATGATGCATCACACTATTGTATTCCTCGAGAGACCGCAATCACAGCCCCTTGTTCTCCTTCCATACATTTGTTTCCTACGATACGATCTAACGATAAGGAAACACCTATAGCTATTTTGCGTTATTCAGCGATGATGTGTGATAATCGCTATTTCAAATAATAAAATAAATGTCGGTATGATTGCTATAATAATGTTTTGTATGTTCTAGAAGTAAATTGATAGCCGGTTATTACTTTATTTTTCTCTTTTTTAATTTTCTTCTTTTATTTACACACTCATAATATTTATACATTTAATCAAACGTTCTCCATCGATGACGTATATTTACTTAAAATGATTAGATCATTTATTTCGGAAAGAGGATCTCTATTAACTAGCGTGGAAACACGCCCCGATGATAGAATATTTGATTATCACGCGATGCAAATTAAAAATTGTAATAACGTGTCACGCGGTATTCTTCGAAGTTACATTTATACGTTCACGTTTATTAATATTTTGTGTAAAGACCAAAAGATTAATTACAGAAATGACTTGCGAGCGTGTGTTATTATCAATTTGTTTTAATTTTAGGAATAGAACAACGGAAACGAGAAAGTGGATATTAATTGATTAATGAGAACAAACGTGATAACGAAATAAAAATGAAAATTGTTATAAATAAGCGTGGCCTTTTTTTTTCTTTTTTTTCTTTCTTTTTTATCTACGATGAAACATTTCATTAACGAATCTAATAAATTTCTCACCCTTCGCACGCGTAACGCATCGCGAATAACATCATCCATTTGATTTAAGACGTTTTGACAAATCGCACTTTCGTGCTAAAATCGTACATCACATCTCCTCTCACGTATTTCGTGTTTTATTATTTTCTTATTCTCCTCCTTCCTCCTTCTCTTCAACAACAATAATATCTTCTTTCTTGGGCTCCACGAAATGATTTACAGGCACATCAATTTTCCTGTCGGGGGAGGGGAAGAAAGAAATTTTTGACGCTGCTCGCACGACTTATATATCTACATACATAAATTGAATTTCAATTTTCCTCATTGTTGTCCATTTTACGTGCACGATACTAATTTTCTTCTTTTCTTATATAAACCTGAACAAGGAAAAAAAAAAAAATATATATATATGTCTATAATATTGCGTGCAGTATAATAAGCTACTTCGTCGAAAGTTAAAGGAATTTAAATGATCGCAAAAAGATCCACGATAATTGAATTCCGCTGGACGAAAATGGAAAATAAAAACGATCGAACGTTTAAGATTACAACGTGACGGGTTTGATCGTAATGAATCAACGTCTCGTCTCGTCTATATTACGAACCAATTTTTTTCTTAGGACGACGATAAAATATTCTTACGATTGAAGTCGGATCGAGTAAAAGTACGATTGAATATCTGGCGCAACGTTGAATCCTTAATCCGGCCTCGTTTGTAGATCTTCTTAATGATATAGACGTGAAATTTGCAATTTTAATATCCGAGCCTTTCTATTTCCATCTTTGATAAATCGAAAGAATGAATTCACCTGCTGAAAACTACATTTTCCGTTCCATTTCCCTTGAGTTAATATTATTAAAGGATGATAACTATTGTTTTTATAAAAACGTAGTCTTGTATCCCTTTTTGTTTTTAAAAAATCTTAAGAAGAAAAAGAAGAAGGAGGAAGGAAAAAGAAACGGGGAATTATACGAGCAATTTACTTCGTGTAATGTTCGTAATGGTCGCCTTAAGCGAGCACGTGCATTATCAGATAATCCTGTCATTAAGTCCTACTCCGACGTGGCATATGTGTATGCGTAGTTTCTATGTGTTTGTGTGTGTGTGCGCGCATACCCGAAGCAGTATCTCTCTCTTTCTCTCTAAAAGTCCCTTTTCCTCAGAATTTTTTTTTTCTCTTTACCCCTTTTTTGATCTTTTCTTTAGTCTCAGCCAATATCGTGTTTTTCTTCGTGCGATACGTTGCATGATTTTTTTTCTCCTTGTTTCTTTACTTCTTTTTTTTGTTTTTTTTTTGTTTTTTTTTTATATTCAGAATCAGTAAAGTGTAAAGGATAAATGAGAAATTTTATTTCTAAGCCATATCTCTATCTTTTTCTTTCTCTTTTTTTCTTTTTTCTCTTTTTTCTCGTATACACGAGCCCGCGTTCTTTAATAAGGTCGATATTAAAAACTCGCGACGAAAAAGATGAAAAAAGATACGGTCGACGAGATCGACCTAAAAGAAAAAGAGAGAAAGAAAGAGAGAGAGATATTTGGAGCAACCCTTTTCCTATACACATTCTAGGTACACGTGTACTCATTGTACGAATATCTACCCTCCTGGTATACGTAAATACAAACGAGTGTGTTTTATGAATGTGTAATCGTTTCAGTAAATAATGAGCCGAGTTGACTCATCATCATCGTGTAAAGTTGCACGTGTTTTCTTGGGGTAGGGGGAGGGGATGTAGCAGATTTCTAACCCCAAAAAAAGGAGGAAAAAAGAAGGGAAAAAAAACATAGAAAAAGAACACACGCATTCGAGATGGCTCGCTGCCAACACAGTTTTTCATTCAACACGCAAATTGAACGACACACTCTGCATCAATCCTATCTTCGCGTGTTCCCCTCATTCTCCTATTGATATATATGTAAATCAAAATGATCATACTAATTTTTTTATTTTTAATGATATCTCATGTGGATTAAAAAATAGATAAATAGTTGAACAGAGAGTGAGAGGGAGAGAGAAATAGAAATTGAAAACTCGCAACAGCATTCGTAAACTTTTTCAACTAGAGAGCGAACGTGTGCATAGTCGGAATAATGGCTGCAAACGACACAAGTTTCTAATTGGGTAATACGTATCTTGCTATAACAGTATAACTCGTTTTGTTTCACCTTCAAAGTGTCATTGGTTTGACTTCCATTCCGACGATTTCTTTTTTAACTTACGCTTTCCAGTCTCGCTTTAATGTTCCTCTGATATTTTCTATCCTTATGTTATATTATTAGTATTATTATTATTATTTATTTTGTTAAATTTCAACCATGATTTCAATAGATATTTGATTAACTCGATTATTAATGTTCTAACGATATATTTCACAAATATACAAATTGTTAACATACCACAAAAGATGTTAAGCGTTATACGACGCACCCTGTATTTGCAGTTAACCCGTTGCTCTCATATATGTACCTAAATCGGATAATGTACAGTTCAAAGGATTTATATAATCGGAGATTATCCCTCGAATCCACACGATAATGTTTTTTAAATGTATAATACATACGTACATACAAACATATATATATGCAAAAATATGTATGCTCGCATATACACATATAGACAATATATTATCCCCTGGATTCTCTCTCTTTCTCTCTCTCACATGATTTATAGATTTTGTTTTTTTCGATCTGTTATGCAAAAAAGGAATACGTAAATCTCGAATAATAAGACGTTAGTTAAAAATGTATAACACCAATCCCAAGCTATTATCATCATCAGGCTGATCGAGGTCACACGGAGAAATAATTTTACACTTGACACGATTCTTTGTCATTTTTCGGTTTACTTTATCAATTTGTTTTTCGAAAAATGAGTATTTCGAACTTGTATACTAGTGTGTGTTATACTAGTGTGGGAGTGACTGTAGCTATATTGATTGCGGTTCCCAGGCCTCTGCGCGCTCTGCGTGCGCGCGGCCAATGCAGATCGCGCACCACCATTTATCTCTCTCTTCTCGTACACGTATATAGTTTTCCTCCCGTTTACATCCCCTTTGCCTATCTCTCTTCTTCTCTCTCTCTCTCCCCCTCACCCAATCCATTCCTTTTCCTCCTAAATGCTGCGCTCTTCTTCCAATTTTTTTTCTTTTATTTTTTAATAGAAAACCAAATCACCGATAAACAAACAACCCCCTTTCTCGATAGTTCAATTCTTCTTCTATACCTAAATCTCTTCTTCCTCTTCTTTATCTTTATGTTTATCCTTTTTTGTTTCCCTTTTCTTATTTTTCTTCCAAGTAATGTACAAATACGCCCAAAGTAATCTTTGTATTTTTTTTTCTAATTTTATTAAAGAAATTTGAGTAATTAGTCAAAATGGGGGGAAAAGAAAAGAACGAAGAGGATAAGTAAGAGAAGACGTTTTCTACATTTGAGATTAAAGTCAAGAAGCAAGAAAGTGGATTGTATTTATATAAAAAAAAAAAAAAAAATCCTAGCCCTCAAGTGACAATTTTGAGAAACCCTAAAACTTGGGCTTTAATTACTTTTACCTTCTTTCTTCTCATTTTTTTTTTTTTTTTTTTTAACACGGTTTAAGAGTAATCTTAAAGTAATGAACATTATCAGCGTAGTATACAATTCTTTTGTATTTAATTCTTCCCTTTTAAGGTTGATCGATTCTCTTTCCTTCCTCCCCTTCATTCTCTTATTCTCCTCTTTCCTTCTCTTACTTCTTACATCCGTCGCATTGCTTTTTTTAAAGTTTATCGGCGTATAGCAGACTCTTTATTACGACATTACGTTCCTCTTATGTACTTTTGATTACTATGCTAGGCACGCGAGCTTCGTAATTTCCTGCCAAACCTAACGTATAGTACGTTTCTTCTTTGCGACACACACAACTCGCTTTCACCGTCGTCGTATAACTAACCAAATCGGGAACTCTTATCCGAGAGACCCTAAAATTATTGATTTTGTTTTATATTGTTTTGATTTCAACGAAGAAAGAAAATTTGGTCGATGTTCAAATCGTTTTTATCATCATCATCATCAACAAGAATAACGTAGATTTAATATAATAATAACAACGAGACAAGATCGAAGATAAAATCGAATGAATATTATTACGGTATTGTAAACACGATAATTCATTTTAATAATTATCTATTAGTTTGTAATTTATATGTTTACAATGGAGAGGAGTGGGAATGAAAATCTAATGGGAAATTTGATCGAGAACTCGAAAATTCATTTAAATGTATAGGAAACATTTGTAATATATAACGTGTGTTTTATTTCAGATTTGAAAATGGGTTGTTTTGGGAGCAAGGATAAGTTGAGTAAAGAGGATATGGAATTTCTGAAGTCACGCACGCGATATGACGAAATCACAATCAAGGAATGGTACAAAGGATTCAAAGTAAGTACATTTCAACTAAAACCAAAATACAATATTAAATGTGCCTATAATTTGGTTTAATTTGGTTTTGTTATTATGATTGCAGCAAGACTGTCCTAACGGCAGATTAACGCCAGCAAAATTCGTGGACATGTATAAAACGTTCTTTCCGTCTGGCCATGCGGAAGAATTTTGCGACCACGTATTCCGCACATTCGACATGGATAAAAACGGTTATATCGACTTTAAGGTAAGAGATATTTTTATATATTGACGAGAGAACGTCGATAATTTCATTTACTCGAACGCGTGGTGTGCGTGTCTTTTATTATACGACGTTACATAGCCAAGATAATATATGCTATAGAATCACGTCGTTAATAGAATTATTATAAACTGATAAGTTTCATATTCTCTGACGCGGCGAACAGTCGATCACTTTTTCTTCCAATACTATAACATATTTTCTTTCAAACGGGAATATCATAGTTATTATTTCTAAGCGAAATCCTTTCGTATTAAAAAGTATATTCGAGTTTAACTGAAACGACACGTAGTATTCGACAACAATAAATATCATTTTACTAACGATCGCTTTCATCACGAATAAAGTCTGTTAAAGTTAAGTTAAGAAACAAACGAACAATAAGCTCTCGTGCATAATTCGATCAAACGAATTCTATGAACACAGTGGGGATAATAACAACTTATGCCTGCTTAAGCAAAATCAGTGATCAAAGGTTCATTCACGTGAAAGTACGAAAAGGCGATTTCATCTAGATACGTACACGTGTGTGTGTGTATATATAGCAATGGGTCTTTTGCTGTCGGAATTTCGGTCACACGCAGAGAGAGAAAGAAAGAAAGAAGAGAGACGAGAGACGTCGATGCTCCGAGACAAAAAAAGTCGCGAAAAATGCTCACTCACCCTCTGTAATTTCGGTTAGGCAATCCTAGATCTTTCTTTCTTACTATTACCCTTTTCTTTTTCTCTTTCTTCCATCTTTTCCTTCCCTCTCTCTCCTCTAGTCGGTACTTTTCGACGACTTTTCTGCGACTTTTATAAAGAAGCATGTCCCCAATGTAAGACCGAAATCAGTGATGTGTGGAAGAAGGGTGACTAGAGGGGTCGACGTGTCTGCTGGGTCAATATGAGAAGTGGAGACACTTCGAAGGTCAGAAAGAGCAAAGAGCGAAGCCACTCCCTTCTCCTCATACCCTTCTATCGCAATCCTCCCTCCGTCTTACACTACCTACAAAGCCCTTCTCATCGTTGACTATCTACCTTGGAGCGTTAGCTGACCCACTTTTACCTATATACTCTACATGCTCCGAAAACGAGCAACCTCTCCAAACTGTCCCACCGTACTTTTTCCGCTTCACCTCGGATATCCATCCGAACATTCGATCCTTTCTATCTTTTTCCTTCCTATTTTTCTATTCATCTAGTTTTATATTTATCTAGTATTATATTTCATCTATGACATGATCTCGATATTATAAAGCACGATCATTCCTCCCTTCCCCTTTGTCATCCTAATGCCCAGAACAAATTTCTTTTTTCAAATGGAGGAAATCAAGAAAGCGTTTTACTGACCGACAAAATCATAATCAAGAAAAATGATAAAAAGGGAAACGTCAGGATTGAAAGCCCTCTCTCTTCATTCTTTCGTTACAGGAATTTCTCTTAGCCATCGATGTTACGTCCTGCGGTACACCGGAAGAAAAACTTAAGTGGGCATTCCGGATGTACGACGTTGATGGAAATGGCGTTATTGATATTCAAGAGATGACTAAGATCGTTCAAGTAAGGATTATAATAAATCAGTTTCAAGATATATGCTTTTTCTTCTACTTATTCTTATTCTTCTTCCTTTTTATTATTTCTTCCTTATTTATGTTGGCTCATATTTTGTGGAGAAATAACGATGAGATATTTCATGTTACAGGCGATATACGATATGCTCGGAGCATGTTCGAGCAACAGGCCAGCGGACAGCGCCGAAGAAAGAACTAAGAATATATTTGCTAAAATGGATGAAAATCATGACGGGCAATTGACGCAAGAAGAATTTCTTAAGGGTTGTCTTCAAGACGAAGAATTGTCCAAAATGTTGGCTCCTTAATCTGACTGGCCAAATTTCTCAGAAAATACATTGACAGACGTCTTGACCGATTTTTAAGACGGATTTCTGAAATAATGAAATAATTATTACCGTCATTATTGTTACGATCTCTGTCGTTGCTGCTGCTGTTGCCGCTGTTGCCGCCGCTACTATTATCAACACCAACGCGATCGCCATCTCAACGGAACACTATTATTAAATTATCGAAACCACCACGACCATCACTTAATACCATCACCAACACCACCACCACCACCACCACCACTACCACCTTCACAGTTGCCACCGTTTTATTATCACTTGTCGCCACTGCAACGTCTTCTACGCTTCGCAGCAATTCCGTCTTTTTATGAGATTATGTGACCAGATATAACGATGACTATGACTTGACGACGACGACGACGACGACGACGAATGATTTATATTTCTTGATAACACGAAAAAAAGTAATGACACGAACGATCGCACCGGTGGTGGTATAGCATCATCGTCAAGAGCGACCGATAACTTACGAACAATTTTTAATTCGAACTTAATCCACGCGCACGCGGATAGGAAATTAAAATATTTAAAAAAAGAAAACAGAAAAGAAATGATAAAGTTGAAAAATAATTTGTGAGATTAAGGCTTACACGAATAACAGAAACTACTTATATGCTGCGAGTGTATTTTCATGACTTTACTTCGAGTTTAATCTTTTTCAAGTCAATCGCGTTATTTAATAATGCGAGATTTGTCGTTTGATTATTCAGATTTTGTTCTCACTCGAATCTGTGAACCAGCAAATAATTCGATTACTTTATCGAATAGATTGCGAATCGATTCATCAAAACGCACGCAATAAAAATTCGTTGCGATATACTCCCATAATAATAATAATCGTTTGAATTTGTTATATTACCGAATTAAATCGCTAAATAAATTTCACTGGACCGAAAAGATTTTTAAAAAGCTGTCAAGTATCGTCGCGGTGACCGCGCCAATGTGGTCCAAGTTAATGAAGAAAGGATTTATTAATTACATCTTGTATGTAATTAATGTACTTAGTCCTAAATTTTAGCGGCTTATCGAACGATCCAAATCTTTAAGAATTAGGAAAATGAACATCGAAAACACACTCGACCGATTGCGAGTTCAACAATCGTTAATATTCGCATCGCTTTTTATGCAAATAATGAAAGGATATTGATTTCTTTTATTTTTTTTTTTTTTTAATTTCAATGTTAGGAAAGGCCAAGCCATTGAAACTAACATAACATGCTCTTCACAATAAATAAACGAATCAGATGAATTCTTCCAAACGATCTTTTTGTTTCCATCTGAGAAACGCGTCGTTTGAAATCAAGCCAAAATAATGAAGATAAAAAGATTTGAAAATTCGTCGATTCTCTAACTGTTATTATTTTCGAACGAATATTATTGCCATATATGCATTTTTCTTATTTCTACACGAAAATTTTGATGGAAAAAAAAAAAAAATCATCGACGTGCATATTTAATAGTAATCGCGTGCACGCGTTACCAAACAATTTCTTTTTTTTTCCCTTTTTCTTTTTAATATCTCTTTATCGTGTATTCCTACGTCATTCTTTTTATTTTACGAACATCAATAACTTCGAAAAAATAATATCGCGAACGAGTAGTAATTATTAACAAATGATTCGAATATATATTTCAATATTTCGGATATTATTTTAGCTATATACTTCCTTATCAAAAGTAAAGGAGTAAACGAACAGAAAACAAAACCAAAAAAGAAGTAGAAAAAAAAAATATAAAGGAAAAAAAGAAAAAAAGAAAAAAAAATAATAAAAAGAAGAAGAAAAAGGGAGAAGAAAACAGGCTGGTCTCTGTTTAGTGATAGAATTTGACCAACTCTGTGTTTTTATTAGAACGAGCTACGTCAAGCTGTCGTAGAATAACATTTTCTCATTGGTATACGCGCGTGTTTTCAATATAAAACACCTTTACATTATATATATATATTATATATATATATATATATATATATATATATATT